AGTATTGGTGCAGTACAATACAGATGTTGCTGGGCTCAGTGAGACAAGACTTACTTCTTCTAGCTGCAACTCACCAGCGAGCGCTAGTTACACTTTTTACTGGATTGGCAAATCTGAGGATGAATGCCGATGCACTGGGTGGGATTTGCCATCCAGACTTTGATTGCCTGCAGATTTGAGTCACTGCTGGAGGGTGTTAATGACACATTTATGCTCCTTTGCACTGGCTTGCTAACAGTCATGCTACTGTCACCAGTGTATAGGCACCAAACAATGATCTACCCAGATGAGGATACGGAGGACTTCTATCAAACCCTTGATAACGTTGTCAGGTTGGCCCCACAGAATAATAAACTGATGGTTCCAATCATGCCTGTCATTAAAATGGCCCAAAAACTATGAATCATGGGGAATGTATAGAGTTCGCATTGCCAACTCCATGACGACCTAATGGTTTGCTACTACTTTCCAAATGCACTGAATACAACCTAATCATCACCAACAACGTTTCAACAGGCCCACAAGTATATGACCTGAATGCATCCTTGTTCAAAACACTGGCACATGATTATGTTACTATATGGTGAAGAAATCTCTGCCAGGTCAGGCTCACTTGCATCATGAGAGGCGCCGACTTCTAGTCAGCCCATAGACTCATGAGAAGTCAAATGTTCCTCTGTAGTGTTCTCAGCAACACTGATAGCAACTCAAGCCAGCAAAGAATATCAGTATTTCAAGCCTGGAAAACCGTGACAAACAGTCTGAATTCCAACAGAAACTCATGGGAGCATTTCCCTCAGTTACAGAAGCCTCAGTGGACATTGAGGCAGTCTGGAAACATTCTGGGGACACAATATATAACATGGCTGCTAAAGTTCTCTGCTTCATTAAGAGGAAATATCAGGACTGATTTGTTGAGAAGGACCCCAAAGTATGTCAGCTCTTGAACTCACTGCATGCTACCCATCAAGCCTACATAGAGGACAAGGATTCAGCAGCTAGAAAAGCTGCATACCACCAAACAAGAACAATGGTTCAGACCAGAATTCGGCAAACAACAAAAACAGTGATGAGAAAATAAAACTGCAGAGTTACAACTGGCAGCAGACTGCAAAGACACCAAAAGCTTTTTTTGCTGGTGTTCATGTTATATACGGCACCATGTGCAACAAGATAAGCCCTGTATGCAAACTGCACTGCAATCGACCCTTAGCTGGAAAAAAAAAAAAAAAGAAATTCTTGAGTGATGGACAGAATATTTCAGTTTGCTTCTTAATCACCCTTCCCAACATTTCTTAGGAAGTAATTAATGCTCTTACACAATGCTTCTTAAAAGAAAAAACTAGCAATAACCCCCACTTTACATGAGACCACCACAGCCACAGGAGATGTCACAAGGGAAAGCACCTGGACCAGATGACATTCCAACAGGGTGGCTATCACTATGCAAAGCACCTCAAATGGCTCTTCCATATTATCTGGGAGCAAGAGTTGGTGCCACAGACTCTCAAGGCTGCCAACCTCATCTACCTCTATAAACATAAAAATGATAGGGCAAATTGTGATGATGACTGTGGCATTTCCCTACTCTGTTGCTGGGAAAACTCTTGAACAGGTCATATTGAAAATATGATATCGGACCCCTTTCTGCTCACCAATGCCACCAAAGAAGGTTGCATGCTGGTGCCCATATTCTTTTCCATTCTTTTTTGGCTATGCTTATGGATGCATTTCATGACATTGACAGGAGTATTTATCCAGTTCCATGCAGATGGGAAGTTGTTCAACCTGCAATGCTTCTGTGCTCACACAAAAGTGGCAGATTTACTTTTTAAAGACCTTTTAATTGCTGATGCTCCCTCGGTTGACAACATTCAACTTATATCTGATCACTTTGCTCATGCAATCATTTTGATTTCACCATCAGCCTAAAGAAAACTGACATACCATACCAATTTGTTCTGGGACATGTGTAGGTCTACCCAATTGTTAGGATCAACATGCTCCTCTCAAGTCCATGGAGAAGTTTTGCTACCTTAGGTGTATGATTTCACAGAATGCCACATTTGATAATGAAATTACCCACTGCATAACCAAGGCCAGCACTGCATTTGGAATGCTGTCACACCACCTATAGAACAATAGGAATGTCAAAATAAACACAAAGCTAAAAGTCTATCAAGCAGTCATGCTTACAATGCTTCTATATGATTGAGGGACATGACAATATAGTGCTGCCACATTAGGTCACTTGTTCAGTTCCATACATGCTGTCTTTGGTCTATTTGCAGGATCAAGTGGTTGGACAGGATTCCCAACATTGAAATCTTTAATTGTTGTTGGATGTCTGGCATTCAAAGCACGCTCATAAAAACTCAGCTGCCTTAATCTGGGCATCTCATTCGTATGTCCAACTTGAGAATACCCAAGGCCATATTTTAGGGCAGGGGTAATCAAACTTTTTTTTTTCCGCAGACCACTTGAAAATTGCTGAGGGTCTCGGCAGACCACTTAATGATCTTTTCAAATGTTGTTTGTACCAATTTGTTCTACAAATTAAAGCACACAACTCATATGTTAATATCAGTAGTCTTACCTTTCTAATGCAATAGATGTGCCCTCTCTCCCCCACTGCAGCAGCCCCAGAGCTGGGGCTGGGAAGGAGAGGGGGTCTCTCCCCAGCAGCCGCAGCCCTGGAGCTGGGGAAAATTGCCTCTTTCTCTGGCCGACGCAGCCTTGCATGTCCCAAATTCCCCACACCTCTTCTTCTCACCCCCCAACTTCTTTCTCACCACTGCCCCTTACCCCTATTTCCCCCAAGGCCACCACCTCACCTTACATGTGCGTCTTCTCAGGGTCCAGGCACCTAATTAGTGGAGCCATGCCTGCACAGCTCCACTAATTAGGTGGGTAGGCCTTCATTTTCTCGTGCGCGACTGCCCAGGCGCGCACCTTAGAGGGAACTATGAGGACCACCTGAATGGAGCTTGTGGACCACTGGTGGTCCGCAGACCACAGTTTGAGAACCTCTGTTTTAGGGTCAGATAAAGCAAGACATCTGTTCTCCTGGTGGTCAGTATAAATTATATAAAGACACACTGAAGTCAAAGCTGAAAGCATATCAGGTTGACCTGAGCAACTGGGAAGGAAGAGCCCACAACAGAGCAAGGTGGCAGCAGATTTGTCATGTCACTGTTATATGCTTTGAAGCAAGGCCCATTAACACCTTATGTGAAAAACAAGAATAGCACTAAGCAAGGAATAAAAGCAATGGTATTGGATAATCCTGTGTGTCTCATATGTAACCATGTTTGTGGTTCCTGTATTGGTCTGCCTCACATATACGTGTTCACCTACAGTGTTTGCTGAATCCTTGTATGTAGACATTGACATGAGACTCCATTATCATTGTATTCAAGTTCATAGACAGCCATGTTGTATATACAGGCTGGTATTGTGTCCACAAGTACCCAAAAATCATGAGTTGGGCCTCTCAAAATCATGAGTAGCAGCTTAAAAATCATGATATTTGAGAAACAAAAACAAAAAACAAACTTACATGCCTCTTGGGTTCTTTTAACTTGATTTCTGGTTTTTGGGCCTTCAAGATTTTCTCTGCAGTCAAAACGGCTAGGTTTTTGTTTGTTTTTTAAGGAAAGCTGAGAGTCTCACATAAATCACCTGAATCCAGGAGCTGGGGCTTTTTAAAACACCAAATATTATGAAACTTGTGAGAAGATTACCAGAGTTGGCAACATTGTTGTTGCCTCTTTGTTGATACAGCAAATATTGTTTGGACAAGGCATGTGCTCTACAATGTTTGTGCCATATTGACCTGATTGCTGGACATAATAGGAGATCAATCAAAAGCAAAAAGTTTGTTAAAACATGTTCAGGTTGACATTTATAGGGATACTATTAACTTAAAAAGAAAAACTTCTATGTGAAAGTGGTTTAACTTACTATTACTAAAACACTTATGATGATAAATGTTTCTCTCTTTTTTTCAGTATACTATGCACTTTGTCTAGTTATTTCAATTATGGAAATTCAAACTTGTGATTCCACATATAACTTGGTCCCCTTGTGTGCGTATATTTTGTTAAAATGTAAGAAAGGGACAAGGACTGCATCTTTGTTCTATGCACATCAATTCAGATATCAGTACTATACGGTGTTAAAGTTTATGCCTTAATATATGTGCCATGTAACCAAGTTAAGGTTGATGTGAGAATAATAATTTTGAATTTCCTAACTTTTTTGTGCATTTTAAAGTCTCAACATTTTATTGGATTGTCACTTTTTGCATTGCATTTTCTTAAAGTAAAATAAATGCTTGACTATGGTAAAAAACATGACCTCAGACTCAAATAGAGGTGGCACATTCAAATAAGCACATGCTTTCTGCCTCTCTCTTTTTAAAATGTGATACAAAGTAACATGGTATGTGAATGCCATTTTCAAAAATTTTCTGAATCTGTCAAAGATTGGATGAATAAATGTGGTGGATTTCATGTTTAAAACATTACTATCCCGAGTTATTCAAGTGTAAAAGAAAGCACCTGAAAAAAAAAAAAGTCCACTGGTGAAAAACACTTCAGACTCATCTCTTAAAATTAGCCAAAGAGAACTGTGTCAAGCTTTCAACAACAAATTCACCAGGTGACAAAAGAGAGCAGGTGTGACAAAAAACAGTGCAAGGGTAATTTAGGCTGAGAACCACTGTTCTAAACATTTACCACCATGGGTAGCATATGCAGCTCTCTACGTGTTATGTGGGCCGCATCCACACCATATATATACTACCTGTATGGCCCTGAGGATGTCACATGGGCCACAGCTCTGTTCTGATTGGGCCGCAAGTTGAGAACCAATGGTTTAGGAAGTTATATATTTCCATAAGCTAGGGCTTATAATAGAAATACCTGCTCAAGCAAAGCCACGCTCTGGCTTTTATGTGATGTGTACCTATACACTTATAAACAACAAAGATTACTTACTTTGTTGTTTCTCCTTCCAGCAGCTGGTCTGGATATAGTCTATATAATCCTTTTCAACGGTTTTCTCTAGCTCTTGAAGTTCTGCTCCTTTATAACTATTTTCGAAGTTTTTATCAACATAATAAGGCACCTGCAGGTTTTGTGTTTCTCTAGGAATGGTATGGCCTATGGACCTGTGAAAAAAGCATAGAGACAAATGTGTTCAGAAATATCAAGGAATGTTAAAAAAAGGCAAGGAGAGAGAAGTGCTCGTTCATTCCAATATTCCCAGCAGGAAATACTTGTAACTTCTTTACAGCAGCTATTGCAGAACTACAGCGCCCTCAATCATTCACTAAAGAAATTACACTTCTCCCTGCTCCATAATCAACCTTACACCTTCCTAACACAGCTGATGAAACGTGACTGGCTAGAAAAACACAATGAAGACACACTATCTAAAGAGATTTAACATGAAAAATGGAATCTAAAAGGAGCAACCTCAGAATTGACACTGCCCAAACTCAAGTACAGTATGCATTAATGAGACTGCATTTTTCTGGGGAGTTCTTGGTAACTTGGTCAAGTCACTTCCAAGACAAAAAGGCCCAAACACAGCTTTGTTTGTTTGCCTGCACTTTCCAGCAGCCTCCTGTCAACATCAGTGGGAAATGACTGGACAAATTTGAAAGGACAGCAGTCTTCAGGGTGCATTTAGGGCACAGGGCCAAATATCTTAGGGTGCAATGTGAGTGTAGTCATTTAGCCCATTCCACGTAGATTTCCACTGCCTCACATTTTAGGTACCCCAGGGCAAATTATAGAATGTGGAATTCTGAATAAGGGGTGATCCTGGTTCCACTTTCTTCAAATGTTTTGAAACTGCCCTGCAGTCAGGAGAGCTGTGTGGAGCTAGCCTCTCTGTCTCCTCCGCTGGTTTAAACCATATTCTTCTTTCTAATCTCCTTGGCTCCTCTCTTTGCATCTTTAGAATTGTTGCCCTGGATGAGGAGAAAGCAGCCAAGAAGGGAGGGTCACACTCCATCTGACATGCCTCTCCCTCCTTCCACAGTTCAGTTTGTCCCTTCCTTCTTGGTTTATTAAAAACCCTCTTTCCTTCCTCTCTTAAGGTCTGGGGTTTTTATTCTCTGCATTAAGAACAATGAAGTTTGTAGAGTTTAATTCCTAAAGATAAGGTTTAGAGGCAGAGCATATGTGCCTATGTGCAGGACTGAAGTGTGAGTCTCTTGGATCAAAGGGCACAGAGGCAACAGGAAGGACTGCCTATTCTGGGAGCAGCCAGTTTCACTTGGGATTGACACAACTCAAAAGACTCAGTGGGGGAGTCTCTTGCTGTCTGCCAGACATGCAGGCTGACATCTTGTAGTAACAGTGATAAGAATTTTGGGGCAGCTTGAAAAACAAACGCCCCATGGAAAAGGACAGAATGCGAGTCCAACCTCAGCGAGTTCCAATTACTCTACCCCCAATAGGGGTGCCATTTAGGAGGGGCAATTTCCTCCTTCCCCCATGAAGCGCCTCAGCCCCAGCTGAAGATAAAGGAAGCATGTAGCTGAGGGCAGGCAGAGGCAGAAAGCAAAGCTCTCCCACAGCAGCTCCTCCTTGGCATCATTGTCCTTCTGCATTGCACTGGGGAGAGACTAAGGACTAAAGCTCATCCGCCTGGGCTCCCGACCATCGGGCTTGCCAGTATCTTGGAGCAGGAGCCATCTGCTGCTGGCAAAGCCTGTGCGGTGGGTACCTTCCTGCATGCTGAACAGCCTGTCTGCCAGGCATCTGTCCCGTTGAAGGGGTACAAGGGAGCAAGTGCTGGGAAAGGCAGGCAGCAAAACCCCAGAAGTTCACTGAAAAGTCTGGAAACTCCACCCCACAGGCAGCAGGATAGGGAGCAAGCCGCCCACAACAGGAGGGGTGGTGAAACCTTATCCTGCCTGTTCCTGCTGAGCTGATGGGGAAAGCTGTCTCTGCTAAGGAGGTGGGAGCAGATACAACCCACAAGAAGCCTGACAGTCGCCTTGTGGCACAGGATTCACGTATTCATGTGATGTTCTTGTGATCTCTCTCTGAAGGAGTCCCTCAATCTCACCACTGCCTCTGTTCCAGCAGTACAGTGACTGGATTCGTACTCCTACCTCACTAGCCCCTAAAACATGCTTTAATCAATATGTGTTCCCTTTTGTGACCAACGCCAGACTGCTGGCCCGTCACTTGGAGCTTGCCAAGAAATGGATGGCAATGCAAATGCACAGCCTCACGTTTTTTTCTTTCCTCCACCCCCAGTTATTTTATCATTAGATCTTCACTTTTGTTATCTTGTCAAACAGCAACTGAAGTTCAAGTTTTTCTGTCACATTTTTCAAATGAAAGCACAATATGTTTTATGTCAAGGGCTTAAGACGTTTGTTTTTTGTTGTCGTTGTTGTTGGAGTCTTGCACTAAGCCAGGAAGGTATTGGGATGAAAAGAAGGTTTTAAAAAGTATGGTGTGAGCACTAAATTTCATGCTTTTATGTTTTAAAAACTGAAGATGGGTGATCCTGCATAGTCATTGCAGAGATATCTGGCAAGCAGCTGTAGGAGTAGACTGCTGTGTGACTGCACTGCTATCTGGAATTAATAATATTTTACTGTATTTGTAGCCTGTATGGTCTGAACTTTGCTGCTTTATAAGCTTGAAAGTTAGGTTTTATTTGGCAGTGGGTCCTAGGTGCAGATTGCTTAGCTTTAAAAGTTTCCTGTTTGTCCTGTGTTGATAATTTTGTTGTAGAAAGCCTATATAAATTATTATTAACAATATAGGAAATAACCACAACAAATGAAACAGACTGATTTTTACCTTTTATCCTTCAAAACATCCAACAGCTGCCAGGGGCCAAAGCAGCCCCTAGACTCCTGCAAGAAGTTGCCCCCCCGAAATCTGAAATGACCCCCGTTCTTTAAAGGGAGCAAACCCAGACCTTTCAAACACTGGATTTCATCCGAAGTGAATGCTTTGTGACTATGCCCCTCCTCTCACACATGCTCCAGTTTGTCACCTAACCAACAACTCTCAGCATTGGGAAGGCCCCAGTGAAGGAGGAGACAACATGTGACAATGCCCCAAAAGGAGGGGGGAATTTTGTTGCAAAACAGCTATTTGCTTTTTAAATGACAAAACTGCAAAGAGGCAAATGCCTAAACCCTCAAACTCAATTTATTCCTGATTAACAAAGCAGAACCCCCGTGGGCTGAGCGTTCAGTACTGCTGGTTTCTTTCCCACCTACTTGTTCCAACTCCCCTTAAATATTCCTCCACAGTCATAATAAGCCTTTTGAGCCAGCAAGGATTGAACACCAAGCTAATACTATTCCAGTACCGGCATGAGAGAACTGCTTTGGATTGAAAGGAGGGTTTGCAATGTTTCCCTGACACCTATTCATCCAACTGAAAAACACCTGCAGTCCACAAACCCAAGCCCATGGATATCGAATTTACACTGGTGTATAAATCAACCATCCACATCCTACCATTCAAATCAACAATACCTTCGCAACTCCAGAACTTTTGCAGGTTCCTTTGCTGCTGCCATCCTGAGGACACAGGTCTCATGCCTTACAGCTCCACCTAGCTACGGCTCCTTTCCCCAAAAAAACAACTAGCGGTACTTGGGGGGCTCTACTCTCCCACAAGGGAAAATCCCCCACCAGCTCTCCATCCCGAATTGGCCTGCTCTCTTGGACAGCATTTCTGCTTGCGCTGGATGAACAGGCAAGTGGGTTTTCCCCAAGCCCTGATTAGAACAATGCTAGACATTCCCCACTCCTTCCAGGGCTAACCAGGTTGTTCTGTAATGCTCCAGCTCCTGCTGGCTTAGAAGGTGCTAATGCTACTAGCCCACTCTATGAAAGTGTTTTAAACCAGATGGTGAGCTCTCTGGGGCATAGCCTGTCACAATGGGGCCCTGCTCCTTGATGGTTTTGTATTATGGTAGTGCCTAGGAAAACCAACCAATAAAAATTGAAATAGCCCTAGTCCCTTAATTCCAAAATGATAATGCTTTCTGCAGAGAGCGGATAGGAAAAGTTGGTGAATTCTTTATTAAGTCCAACATCCCTCTACCTCCCCACCCCAAGTAACCTAGATCAGATAAACAGTTTTTTAAAAATTGGACTTACGATTTGTAGAACAGGCTGTACGGTGGATTAGTGGCCATCAGCTGAGTTATAACTGACACAACTATGATCACCAAAACCGGCAGCAACTGAATAAATGCAGAGTACGTATTCTGAAATGGACAACCATAGTGAGTGGATGATAAAAGTTAGAGATGGGAATAAGACCTACTAGCTCATAAAAGGCAGGATGCAATGCTGTCTCTAGGTAGAGAACGTATCAGATGTTAAACAGACAACAAGAACAGAGACTACACTTGAGTTTACAGAAGAAGTGTGACATTTACATTTCAAACTAGTTAAATTTCAGAATTACCTTTATTAGAAAAACACTTTAATAACTTAAATTTCAAATAAATAAGTTTTCTCCAAATCAAATTTTTGCAAAGTTTCTTTAATGCACAATTCCATTTATAAGTCAAATATCTTTTCCCTCATAAAGTATGTGCACACTGTGCTGCCAGGCGGCAATGCAGTTCCAGGAACACCCTGCTTGGATACAGTTTACATCTACAGGTGCCCTGTAGTTTCTAAAATTTACAATTTTTTTTCTCAAATCCCATAAAATACTTAAGATTTATTTTCTACCCAATGACTGAAACTTTTAAGAATAAGCAGGTATAAATACACCACATATAGAAGATGGGAGTTGCCTTGCCGGGGGGGGGGGGGGGTCAGTGAACGAGCCAATTCAATTAAGGTGGAAGTGGCCCATTCTCAACAGTTGGCAAGAAGGGGTGAATACCTAGGGAGGGAAAATCACTTTTGTAGTGCTAATGAGGCCAATGCAATCAAGGTGGCCCATTTCAAACAGGTGACAAGAAGGTGCGAGTATCAGCAGAGGGAAATTAGTTTTTGTAGTGACCTATCCACTCCCAGTCCCAGCAACTACATACCACAAAACAAAAACACTAACCCAGGAACCAATCCCTGCAACAAACCCCATTGCCAACTCTGTCCGCATATCTATTCAAGGGACACCATCATAGGACCTAACCACATCAGCCACACCATCAGGGGCTCGTTCACCTGCACATGTACCAATGTGATATATGCCATTATGTGCCAGCAATGCCCCTCTGCCATGTACATTGGCCAAACCAGAGAATGTCTCTACGCAAAAGAATAAATCGACACAAATCAGACATCAAGATTTGTAACATTCAAATATCAGTAGGAGAACACTTGAGTCTCCCCGGACACTCAATAACAGACTTAAAAGTGGCAATTCTTCAACAAAAAATATTCAAAAACAGACTCCAACGAGAAACTGCAGAACTAGAATTAATTTGCAAACTGGACACCATAAAATTAGGCCTGAATAAAGGCTGGGAGTGGATGGGTCACTACAAAAACTAATTTCCCCCTTCTGATACTCACACCTTCTTGTCAACTGTTTGAAATGGACCACCTTGATTACACTGGCCTCATTAGCACTACAAAAAGTGATTTTCCCCCCGCCGTTGGTATTCACCCCTTCAACAGTTGAGAATAGCCCACTTCCACCTTAACTGAATTGGCTCATTAACACTGACTCCCCACTGGGTAAGGCAACTCCCATCATTTCATGTGCTGTGTATTTATACCAGTCTACTGTATTTTCCACTCCATGCATCTGATGAAGTGGGTTTTAGCCCACGAAAGCTTATGCCCAAATAAGTTTGTTAGTCTCTAAGGTGCCACAAGAACTTCTGGTTGTTTTTCCTGATACAGACTAACACAGCTACCACTCTGAAACTCTTAAGAATGTTACAGGTTAATAAACAATACACAGTGTAGTTTGGAATTATATACGTGTATTTTCTTTTATTTGTTTGAATATGTTTTTCAAAGTAAGTGAATTTAGTGCAAGTGAAACAGTGTTGGCTCTAGGGACAAAAGTCTTCTGTTACTCCATAAAACAAACCGCCCAGACAGTAACAGCATAAGTTTCTTTTTACATTGTCTTGCCCACCTGCCTCAACTTTGGCCCTTACGGGGAAGAGCAGAAAGCAGTCTGTAGCTATTCAGTCCTTGGTGTCTGTATCAAGATTACCAACAAGAATGCTCACTGCAACTGCATGTGATATGAACACTTGTCTGTCCACACCACAAATGTATTTTCCATTAGGCTACACAACTGACATTGGATGGTAATGATTTTCAGCCACTACTGATCCATTTCAACTGATGAAAGACTGTAGCTCTTTTCTGAGCCCTCTCGCAATAAGATACATGTTGGAAGTAGCAAATAAAGAGACAAGTACAGTGGTCCCACATAAAAAGTCCTTTCCGATTGTAAAAATATTACTGGTTCTAGAGACATTCCCCATTTTAAGAACTGTAGAACCTCAGAGTTACGAACACCTCCAGAATGGGTTGTTTGTAACTCTGAAATGTTCATAACTCTGAACAAAACATTACGGCTGTTCTTTCAAAAGTTTATAACTGAACATTGACTTAATACAGCTTTGAAACTTTACTATGCAGAAGAAATATGCTGCTTTTAACCATCTTAATTTAAATGAAACAAGTACAGACACAGTTTGCTCACATTGTCAAATTTTTTTTTTAAACTTTCCCTTTATTTTTTTTGGTAGTTTACATTTAACACAGTAGCGTACTGTATTTGTTTTGTTTCTGCTGCTGCCTGATTACATATTTCTGGTTCCAAAAGAGGTGTGTGGTTGACTGGTCAGTTCATAAGTCTGGTGTTTGTAACTCTGAAGTTCTACTGTATAGGGAACATTGCTGAAACCAATATGATCTTGAAGTGCACCCACTGTAGCCATGATCAATATTTAAAGCTAACAGCTTCCTCCCACGGTACCTGAGGCCTGTTCTCGTCCTCCTCTTTGTCCTGCATCCAGGCTCTCTCATTTCGGTGTCGTCGCTGATAATAGTGGGTGTCTGGTGTCACATTTGAAAACATATGAATATTTCCTGTTTTAAAAAAACCCAAAGAGGTGAACTAGCCATTTTCATTCAATTGCAGGTATCTAATATTCCTCAGAAATTCTAGCTGGCTATACCATCTTACAGTAAATGGCCTGAGTTACCAGGCATAGTCATGAAAGGCCAGATTGTAAACTTCAAATAATACAACTCAGAACTGAAATTCCAAAACAGCACATGGGAGCTAGCCAGTATGCAGCATGTTGGTGTATTGGTGTGCCAAGAGAAAATGAATGTTTTTAAAAAAAAAAAAAAAAAAAAAAAAAAAAAGGAAAAACACCACCACAAAAGGCAAAGCAAAACTTGGTGCAAAACCATCTCAGTTAATTTTCTAAAAAAAACCAACAACCAGAGACTCATTAGGGTTTTTATACTGCAACTCTTGCTTTCACATGAGTTTTAACATGTCCCATTGAGAGACTATTTTGCGTGGGAACCTGAGGCTCCAAATATAAGAAATAGGCTTTATCATTCAGTCCATAAATTAGGCTGCTCTTAATTACTAAATTTGCCCTTCTGTAATCATTTCTGTTCTCTTTCTTTGAGCTCTTTATTGCCTCATTAAGGATTTTGTAATGAGAGAAGAGATTAAGGAGAAGTACTACTTGATAAAGAATACAATTCAGGATTTCCTTTTCTTGTAGGCTAAAGAGAGACACAGTATATAGCTGATTTATTTTAGAACTTCTAAGATGGGGGAAGAAAGAAGCACAAGCTATTTTGATCAGAATGATGCTGTTAAAAAGCTCTACCAATTTTTAAAGCTATGAATTTTACATCACATGAACACCGGAATAGCTATGCTCTTTCCTTTTTAATTCAGAACTCTTTTGTAGTAGAGGCTTCAAATTCAAAATGTTTGTCCTAATCAGAATCATAGAAATATGACTCCATCTTTAAGCCCGCATGAAATTAATATAACTTTACACTTCTATAACATCCCTCATTCAAGATTCTCAAAGTACTTTACAAACATGGACAAGATAACGTTGTTCCAAGACACTGAACTTAAAATAAATTCTTGACTTTTATTTATTAAAGTCTAAATAACAAAATGCCCATACACAAAGCTTGAGGCACCCTGCCAATTATTTACAACAGCATAATGACCATCCAGCAGTATTAAAAAAAATCCCATTGATACCATAAACTCAGCCTACTTGCAGCATTCAAACAAACAGTAACAAATTAATTCAGGGCAGGTCTACACTCTGGGCGTTACAGTGGCACAGTTACGTAGACGCTTCCTATATCAGCAGAAGGGGTCTTTCTGTCAATGCTGGTAATCTGCCTCCCTGAGCGGCAGCAGCTAGGTTGATAGAAGAATTCTTCCGTCAACCTCGCCGCATCACACTGGAAGTATGGTCAACTTAACTATGGCATTCAGGGGTTCATCTAAAAGTGTAGACCAATAGGGCTCAGTTGGCCAGCAAATGGAAAGGAACAGAAATGTTCCTTTCCATTCCCTTATGCCTCTGGGTCCATATCTTCAAAACCCGAATGGCTTTTGTGGCATGCACAGAAGGACATCAAGTTCAGAATATTTCAGACAAAGTGGAGGGAGCAAGTTCCAAGATCCCAGGACCCTCACGCAGAATGCCCTACCAGCATAAGAAAAAGTTAGGTATGGAACTTTAGTTTTGCTCATCTCCAAAGGTTTTCAACTCCGATACCCAAAAAGACTATGCTGCAGCTTACAACCGTTTTGGTGCACATGGGGTTTGTGCATGGGCACCAAAATAGCTGGATGGATTTTCCTCAATTAAAGAGAAAAATAACCTTTGAGCTAGGAAAAGGTACAGAAAGTTCATCTCAAAAGTGAGGTGGAAGTTACGATTTGGTTTTAATTTAATTTAATTTGGTTGGAGGAAGTTATGATTTGGTTTGAATATCAAAACAATTTTAAACTTTAAGCTTGAAGTAGGCAAAGCATACACAATTTCTGCTTTGCAAAAGAATTGCAAGGAAGATGTTTAGTTGTATAGCAAACGGGAAGAAAAAAATGTTCTAAAATCATAGCTATTTAGTTTTAATAGGGAGTTGTAATGAAAATCCCTGTGCTCCCTTATTTTTCTTTGCCACAGAATCTGTAACACCCTCATTTAGGCCTTGTCTACACTAGAGTTTTTTTGATGCAAGTTACACCAATGATCAAAAAATGGTATAGTTACATTGCTTTTGGATGTTCACACAATGTTCCTTTTGTTGGTGGGGAACATCCACAGCTTTAGCATCCACAGTGAAAGCAGTGCTCTGTGGGTAACTATCCTACTTGCCACCTTCTGCAGCTAGGAACTGTGGAATGGTGGAGTGGATCACAGTGCATCAGGGGTGCGGGCTCTATGTCCCATGACTCATTTTTCCCTGTCCCATCATTCCATGAGGTTCATAGAATCACAGAATAGCAAGGTTGGAAGGGATCTCAGGAGGTCATCTAGCCCAAACCCCTGCTCAAAGCAGGACCAATCCCCAATTTTTGCCCCAGATCCCTAAATGGCCCCCTCAAGGATTGAACTCACAACCCTGGGCTTAGCAGGCCAATGCTCAAACCACAGAGCTATCCCCTCCCAGGTTCTGACTGTTTTTCATGGCATTTTTCAATGGCCCCTGTTTACTGTGTGCCCAGAGCCTGCACTGCTCTCTACTGTTGTGGTCACTGTTATGACCACATCACCGCTGGTCATGCAGTATATCATAAGCACCCAATCTGAACAGGAATCAGAGGTACCTGACCTGCTGTGCGCCATGGAAAGAAACACCACCAGATTACTTTTGGCATTAATGGAGCAGCTGCACACAGTGGACTGTTGCTTCTGGGTTCAGGAAACAAGCACTGACTGGTGGGATCGCATCATTACGCAGGTCTGGAATAACGAGCAGTGGCTGCAGAACTTTCAGATCATAGAATATCAGGGTTGGAAGGGACCTCAGGAGGTCATCTAGTCCAACCCCCTGCTCAAAGCAGGACCAATCCCCAACTAAATCATCCCAGCCAGGGCTTTGCCAAGCCTGACCTTAAAAACCAAAAAAGGAGATTCCACCACCTCCCTAGGTAACCCATTCCAGTACTTCACCACCCTCCTAGTGAAAAAGTTTTTCCTAATATCCAACCTAAACCTCCCCCACTGCAACTTGAGACCATTGCTCCTTGTTCTGTCATCTGCTACCACTGAGAACAGTCTAGATCCATACTCTTTGGATCCACCTTTCAGGTAGCTGAAAGCAGCTATTAAATACCCCCTCATTCTTCTCTTCTGCAGCCTAAACAATCCCAGTTCCCTCAGCCGCTCCTCATAAGTCATGTGTTCCAGTCCCCTAATCATTTTTGTTGCCCTCCGCTGGACGTTTTCCAATTTTTCCACATCGTTCTTGTAGTGTGGGGCCCAAAACTGGACACAGTACTCCAGATGAGGCCTCACCAATGTCTAATAGAGGGGAATGATCACCTCCCTCGATCTGCTGGCAATGCCCCTACTTATACATCCCAAAATGCCATTGGCCTTCTTAGCAACAAGGGCACACTGTTGACTCATATCCAGCTTCTCGTCCACTGTAACCCCTAGGTCCCCTTTTCTGCAGAACTGCCGCCTAGCCATTCGGTCCTTAGTCTGTAGCGGTGCATGGGATTCTTCCGTCCTAAGTGCAGGACTCTGCACTTGTCCTTGTTGAACCTCATCAGATTTCTTTTGGCCCAATCCTCCAATTTGTCTAGGGCCCTCTGTATCCTATCCCTACCCTCAAGCGTATCTACCTCTCCTCCCAGTTTAGTGTCATCTGCAAACCTGCTGAGGGTGCAATCCAAACCATCCTCCAGATCATTTATGAAGTTATTGAAAAAACCGGCCTGAGGACCAACCCTTGGGGCACTCCACTTGATACCGGCTGCCAACTAGACATGGAGCCATTGATCACTACCCGTTGAACCCGACAATCTAGCCAACTTTCTATCCACCTTATAGTCCATTCATCCAGCCCATACTTCTTTAACTTGCTGGCAAGAATACTGTGGGAGACCGTGTCAAAAGCTTTGCTAAAGTCAAGGAACAACACGTCCACTGCTTTCCCCTCATCCACAGGCCAGTTATCTCGTCATAGAAGGCAATTAGATTAGCCAGGCATGACTTGCCCTGGGTGAATCCATGCTGACTGTTCCTGATCACTTTCCTCTCCTCTAAGTGCTTCAGATTTGATTCCTTGAGGACCTGCTCCATGATTTTTCCAGGGACTGAGGCGAGGCTGACTGGCCTGTAGTTCCCAGGATCCTCCTCCTTCCCTTTTTTAAAGATGGGCACTACATTAGTCATTTTCCAGTTGTCCGGGACTTCCCACGATCGCCATGAGTTTTCAAAGACAATGGCCAATGGCTCTGCAATCACATCCGCCAACTCCTTTAGCACTCTTGGATGCAGCGCATCCGGCCCCATGGACTTGTGCTCATCCAGCTTTTCTAAATAGTCCCGAACCACTTCTTTCTCCACAAAGGGTTGATCACCTCCTCCCCATGTTGTGCAGCCCAGTGCAGTAGTCTGGGAGCTGACCTTGTTCGTGAAGACAGAGGCAAAAAAAGCATTGAGTACATTAGCTTTTACCACATCCTCTGTCACTAGGTTGCCTCCCTCATTCAGTAAGGGGCCCACACTTTCCTTGACTTTCTTCAGATGCGGAAAGCCACCTTCCTGGAACTGTGTGCAGAGCTTACCCCAGCCCTGCGTCGCATGGACACCAAAATGAGAGCTGTCCTCTTGGTGGAGAAGCGTGTGTGGATTGCTGTGTGGCATCTGGTGACTGGGAAGTCCATCGTTGGGGCTGCATTAATGCAAGTGTGCAGGGTCCTTAATCACATCCTGCTACAAAGGACTGACACTCTTGGCAATGTGCGTGAAATACTGGATGGCTTTGCGGCAATGGGATTTCCTAACTTCAGTGGGGCGACAGATGGCACACATATTCTAATTTTGGCCCCGGACCATCTTACGATGGAATCATGG